TCCAAATCTCATGAGAGTGCCCCGCACTTTAAATCATATGTTCTCCTTGTCCGACTGCTGTCGCGCCTTCTGTGACCCTTGTTAGGGGGCGAATGCAATACACGGCTCTTAGCCTTATTCGCGACTCGATCCTAGATAGCGTTTGAGTTCGACTCATGACTGAATGCAATACACGGCTCTTAGCTTTATTCGCGACTCGATCCTAGATAGGGTTTGAGTTCGACTCATGACTGAGTCTCTCGTGAATAGTCATTTGAGATAGGGTTCTCAATGACCGCTCTAGTCATACTAGGTTGATGATGAAACATCGCTCTAGATATTTAGCCAGCGTGGAGTACTTCCACGCTACTAGATCCATGCTAGACAAATCTTCCACGCGTTCCGTTTTAGGATCGTGGAGATACGTAGGATTACTACCGCAACCTACTCTATTACACTTTATAGTCTCCCGCGGGAGACCAGATCTACGATCCCTTGATGATGATCTCTCTCGTTGATTAGTTTTCATAGCTTTCTAATCTCTCTCATAACTTTCATTCTCTCAAACTCAAAACACTCGAAAGATCTTTACACTAGCTTTTAGCGTAGTGCATTAAGAATCATTAAATATTTTTTGCTGATTCTTTTAAAAGAATCATTGAATAATTTTTACTGATTCTTAAGAATCCTCTCCAAATTATGATGATTCTTAAGAATCCTCCATGCAAATATGCTGAATCTTGGGAATACTGGTAAAAATCAAGAAAGACTCCATTGCAATGGTTGTAACATCACTGCTACATCATTACAAGGCTGTTCGAATCAGCAAAGATTGTTGTTGGTTAGCAGATAGTATCAGGGGATAGCATTGCTAGCTATGAAGTGCATATTGCTATAGAATAGGCTGCATATTAGACAGCATACTGGGTGCCTGGTGATTCTTAAGAATTAGCAAAAAACCAAAACTGATTCTTGAGAATCCCCATTTTCCAGATTCCTCGCACCAGATCCAAGACTTTACACAGTGTGTGGTAATTGTTGCTGTGTCAACGTTGCATTGTCACCAGTGTTCACCGCTTAGCTGGCTCATTCAACATGTTTGACACCCAAGGCAAACCAACTAGACTCTACTGTAACTGATCCACACATCCACAGCCACACAACAGCGAACCACTTTCATTGAAACATCCTGCCCTCCTCTCGTAGTAACTTCTCTGGTACTGTACTCAAGGCCGACGCTTACTTCCATTGAAACATCCAGCATCTTGCAAATCCAAACGTGATGTTGGTCTATTGATGTCTACCGGTACCCGTGCGACAATGAGATTACGGATCATCCTTTTGAGTTCTCGTTGCCAGATATTAGTGGAGATTCCTGAGTGTTGAAGCATTATCTATGCCTCCGAGATCCCTTCCAGATTTGTTCTTGTCCGAGTGCCAACCGCTCGTCACCATGGCGACTCGTCATGATGATGATGATGATGATGAGCCTAAAGGGTTTTGGCAGGCAGTACAACAGAGACGACAAGAGTCGGACCAAGAAGCTGCTGCTGATGCCAGACGACAACAACAGAGTCGATGCCACGCCATTCTATTGGGACAATTTGTGGCCTTTGTGGCAGCCTCTGTCAATGTGACATCCTTTACTCTGGAAAATTCCTATCAAGTGGTGGCACCCCTGAGTCAACTCTTTGTCATGTACATTTTCCTATCTCTGCATTTATTGCTGAGATCACCACCACCACCACCACAAGACAATGAGCATCAGCAGCAATACAGAATGCCACTATTTGGGTTTCGACTGAAAATTCCATGGTACATCTACCTCTTCTTTTCCTGTCTGGATGTGGGCGCGGGAGTTATCATGTTGCTATCACTACAATACACTTCGCTAACCAGCGTCACACTGTTAGGATCCTTGACCGTCCCATCCACCATGCTCTTTTCCAAGTTTTTATTGGACAAGTCCTTTGGCGCACATCACGTTTGGGGCGTCTGTCTCTGCTTGCTGGGAGGTTGTCTCACCATTTGGGCCGACTTGGATGACCCTGATGCGTTTATCATCAACGGGGGAGACATGATGGCGATTACTGCGGCTCTACTCTATGGGCTGGGTGATGCTGTTTCCGAATATTCCATCAAACACATTGATCGAATGGAATTCTTGGGCATGATGGGATTCTTTGGGATGATCTTGACTGGAATTCAGTTCCCGTTCCAAGAAGGTCATGTCTTGGCAGAGCTCTTTGGTGATCCCAAGGCTCACACGGGTGCCCTCGTTCTCATGGCAAGCTACGTTTCTCTGCTTCTCTTGTACTACGTGACGGAAGCCTACTTTCTCGTTTCGTCCGATGCCACCTTGCTGAACCTGTGCTTGCAAGCACAAAACTTGTGGGCCATTCTCTTTTCGGTCTTGTCTCATCAAGCAGCTCCTCCTGGGCTGTTTTATCTGGCCGTGGTGTTGGTGTTTCTGGGAGTGGCAGCCTACGAGGTTGGACCCAGCAGTGACCCTGTGGAGCAAATAATTGTAACCTCGGTTCAATCGCAGCAGCAAGATCAAGAGTTGGTTACAACTTCATCACCAGACACTACGGAGATGGACAGCAAACGAAAGCAGGGGGGTGCTGAGTACGATTCCATCCAACAGATTGAAATAATATAGCGCTTTGTGTCAACTTCGTGACTCTTTCGAGAGTTAACCTAGCATTGCACACGGTGACTTCTTGGTGGGAGAGCATGGGGTGTTCAAGGTTTGGGAAGCTGTTTTTCTCTTCGATTCGTCACTGCAAATTGCCTGTCTCTGCCCGCGGGCAAGACGACGGCGAGACCAACAAACGCAACGTCGTTTCATACTTGGGTCGAGCACGGTTACGGCGGAATTGAACGAGGCAGCCTGCGCTCTTACAAGAAGTTGCAAAGGAAAGGGTACTAGTACGATGTGAACTGCGGGCTGAATCCTCGTCGCGCCAGATACCGGAATCTCTGTTTGGCTGTAGATTATCAAAGCACTCCTATGCATACATGACAAGAGTGCATGCTGCTATGTTTGATGGTCAAGCATGTCCGGGGAGCTGCTTGTACCATTCAAACTCTGTTGCCTCGCCTTTCTGCACATCCAACTCATATTCCCGCTTCTTCTTGGAACGCATAGCTTCGGTCTCTGTGATGTCCTCCTTTGATGTGTAGGCTGCAATCTGCTCGATGAAGCCTTCAACCTCAATCTCACTCCGTAATGATTTCTTTGACCGCCAGTCAATGTACAAAAAGTTTCCTCCAGTAGCTCGGGTCAAGTCCCTGTAGCCTCTGCTGTCAATGTTTCCTACTCCTAGAACAGTGATATGAAACTCAATGTCATAGCCAGCATTGATCAGGTGTGACATCATTGGATTCATCCCCCCCACTCCCATGTAGTCGCCCGGACTTTTGTTATCTTCTCCATCCGTGACAATAAAAACGCGTAGGCGCCTGCTTGAGACCACCTTTCGATTCTCAAGGAGGTCTTGCTGGATCATATGCCACATGTATGTGCCTCCGATCTGACCTTTCCATTGTCGAAGAATGGCCTCAACATTAAAGGTCTTCGCCTCTCGAACAACAACTTCCTGATCTGAACCAAATAGAATAACGCTGGTAGGAGCACCTTGCAACGAAGGGGCCATTCTTTTCAGCAACGGATGTGCAATATCCAGCCACGATGAAAAAAACCCGAAGCTCATAGATCCACTATTATCCAAGTAGACGAGATTTGCAGTAGTAATCCTGGGTGCAACCTGCTGATAAACATTGCCCGCAGAATCGATGACCATCACGACTGCATCTAGGCCAGTCTTTCCAGCAGTTTGGAACAGCCGCCATGACGAATCGAAAGCACGCCCCAGAGTGGGGTAATCGAAACGCCACCCGCAATGCTTTTGGTTTTGTTTCTTCTTCAGAAACTCCCGTAGTTGTTCTCTGTTTTCAGGGATCAACATGAATTCAAGAGCTTCATTGAGAAGCAGAAATTTTTCCATGGATGACGACTTGCTGCTTTTGTCAGGGTGAACCGTCTTGGCTCGTTTACGGTACGCCCGCTTGATAGTTTTGGTGTTGCGGACGGAGGTCTTGACACCCAGCACTTTGTGGTAGCATTTCTCGAGCTTTCCTTTCACGATGGCATTGACTTTGCAATTCACGAGACATGAATAGCCCAGAATAAGGACCAAGAGCAAAGAATTTCTGTACATCATGGCTGTAAAGTGCTGGCGAGAGAGGAAGAAGAATACAGAAGTTGTGAATTCATAAGGATTGAAAGACAAGCGGAAAATTCCACGCCAACTTATCGTTCCACGTTGGTACGAGGCGTTAACACCATACCGCAAGCGTGGAAAATGTTTGTTTGTCAGAGCGCACGAGGGGTACCTTGTACCGTTATCGTCATGACGTGGCAGTAATGGGACGAAAACGGCCTATTCAAAAAGAACCACAAAAAAGGGAAGCGTCAGTTGAAAGATTCAAAAAGTTCGACATGCGCACGCAAAACAACAAAACAAGATCCAGTTTTGCACGAACAGGGAGATGATCTGAAAGCAAGAATCAAATTTACTTAAGAACATACCTTAATGATTTAAACGCAATTCCCCATTGTCACCCAAAAATAAAACACCGTTTGAAGTTGTCATCGTCCCTCATTGTCCTGGACGAAAAAAAAAAACAGAAGCACAAAACACCAGAGGTCCGCCCTTTTCGAAGTTGCACACTCAAAAATTGTGAGTTTCTCGTAGAATCTACACAACTCTGGTAGCGATCAATGACAGTTGTGGTTCGTTTTTTGGTGGCAAATCAAACGTCAACGGAAGTATCTAAATGAAAGCAATCACGGATTCTGTAAACTGTCACCAACGTCACTATTTTCTCTATATAAATGCGCATGGCAAACACGGAAAGCCCAAGTCACCGAACAGCTGGCTAAGTATAACAGAGTACTGAAAATTGATAGTAGAAAAATTATGTTGTCACGAAATGAAGAAACCTTCAACCTAATGTAACTGCCAACCCTCCACCATGACATGACGAAATTTCAAGAAGAACAACAACAAAGAAGGACAACAAGCAACAGTGCTACTATTGAAACCATTAACTAAACTAAATGACAGCTCGCTGCAAACCAAGTAGTGTCGCAGCAGCAGCCGTCCCTTCTCCATCACTTTCGTATTCCTCATCATCTGTATCGTACTCCAATTCGTCTTCGTCCTCGCTCTGAATGTAGTCTTCCTCGTTCCATCCAGCTGGGTCACTCTCATCTCGCAAGTCCCAGAGTCTCTCAATCTCTGCTGGTGTGTACCGGAATTTGCTGAGTCCCCGTAGGAAAGCATCCCACAGACCCTTCTCGTGCTGCCTCATCCACATCACCTCCCACAAATATTCCTGCAAGTTATGTCCACTGCGCTTTTGTACTGGCATTTTTTTCTTCATGAAAGACCATGAACCCTCAATTGTTTGCGTGTGCGTCCCATCCTTTGCAACGAACTCCTTCTTGTGACAGAGGGTTTTGTGGGTGTAGTTGTAGTCGGCAAAGTACCCTAAGCGGTTGTATGCCTTCCACTGGTCGGTGTGGATGACACTTCCAGGGCGGACAAATGCAGTGATCAGGGGAATTAGAACATTCGCAGTTCGCCTAGGCACAGCAATCATTGCCAGCTTACGTTGCTCTGTCCTTTCCACCATCCCTAGGACCCAGTCAGCTGTGACCCTGCGACCTTTGTTGTACTTGCGTTTGCCAAATTTAGACTCGTCAATCTCGACAATGATGCCAGGTCCACCAAGCATTATGGTCTCCCGGTCCTCCTGAATCACCATTTCTGCTACTAGTTGTCTGCAGTGCCGCATCCATTTGCCAACGACCTCAACTGTCCAGCCCAGCATCAATGCTGCAGGCACCGTAGGAACCCTCATTAGATACAGGTAAAATAGATGGAGAACCTCGTTCTTAGGCAAACGGCAGTTCTGGAGTACACTACCATGGTAGATTGACCGCTCCCATGACTGTCCCTGATTCCAAATCCAATCGCAGTCAGGACAATAGCCGAAGACATCTCCTCTGGTATCTAACTGATTCTTTAGCTTGCTTCCACATCGTTCACAATCAGCGGGGCAAGTAAATTCGCAGTTCTGCTTCCTGCATCTCATGGTCACCTGCTCAGGACCTTTCCATTTGCATGGACTGTTGCAGCGGCCGCAGCAAGTAGGAATACGAATGATACCATACGTGGCCATGTAAAGGATGGCTTCTTTCTCTTCGTTGACGACGTCCTTGATTTCCTTGTAAGCTGGTAGCTTTCCATCCTTCACCAAATCGTCCAGATCTCGAACCTGTTTGTTCCTGGAAGCGAAACGTTCCTTATCGGGTACCTTGCCCTTTCCTCTTGTCCATGTGACAACTGGAACATGTTTGTTGGAATGAACATTCACAGGGAGCCGTGGTAGCTGTCTTGCTCGCAGCGGAGGAGGCCGATCACCGCCATTGTCCTTGTTGGTGGCGGCCTGCTTCTTCCTTTCGGCAACAGCCTTCTTGCTGTAGAATCCTCTTTTGGCCATGCTACTATCCGTTTTGCATTCAAATGAATGGGAAAAAGTCAAACCGAAAAAGAGCTGAGTGCAACGACAAAACAGATAGAGTTTAAATTGATTCATAAAAATCTAGCAAATGACACGGTAAAATGATATCCCGGACCAAGCTTTAGTTCGAATCTTTCTATATAACTAGGAAAGCAAATAGACATCCCGGACAGAGTTTCGCTGTCGTGGAGAGGAACCAATAGTAGTTGCAGTCCGGTGAAAAGAAATGACACTGGCATGACTCCCTCCAGGCGGTCACAGTTGCTTCCGACATCAAAAGAACAAGCTCACAAAAAAGCGCTGGTGGTAGGATGTGTGACTGGTGTGGTCCCAAGTTTGGATTTCTCACCCAAGATGGCTGTTTTGAGTGTCAACCACTACCCTACATTGGCAGGGACGTCAAACGTTTTGGAGCTACATTCTTTGAACATGGGCATGGCGGTACAGTGGAGGCACAACGAAATGACCTACCAATGGATGCCTGCTACGACACCAACACAACAAAGGACGGCAGCGGTCACGCAGAACCACCAAACAGAAACGGTGACAAGGAGAACTGCCCAAAGGCGCCATTCAAGATGAGCACCAATCTCGACAGTCTATTCTCACCCTTTCCAGAAAAGGCAAAGTACGTTGTGAGCAAGAGAGAGCCAACAGATTTCTACCGATTGGAAAAAATCCTTCCACCCAAGAAGAAAGCCGACACCACCGAATCTCCCATCAAACGTATGAAGAACGAAATCGCAATGAAAGAAAAGCCCATCACGTACAACAACTGGAGGCATGCCCGCCCCGGAGTGTCTTTGTTTGATACTGGCGAAGCATATTCCTACTTGAGCTCTTCAATGCATCTAAACAGCAACAAGAGCTTAAGCGGAGCATTTTGGTACACTGAATTGCCCTCCTACAAAGAGAGGAAAGCTCTGAGGGAAAAGGAAGCCGAAGAGCATTCAAAAAGAAAGTCACAGCAACAGGAGAACAAGGGAGAGCCAATGAAAACAGCACCCGAAGAGCAGCAGAACAGACAAGAACATAACAAGCTAGCAGAGGATCTATTAGACTTAGCGGACCAACAGGAAAAGGAAGATACGAACAAGAAAGCAGAAGAAGAAGACGTCATTGTGGCAATGCCCCCTAAGCCATCCAAGTTCGGACAAGAACACCAAAGCATGAAAAAATGGTTACAACAGCACGGAGGGGCCACATCGTTTAGGATGCTACCCATGCCCATCAAGAAGAAAGAACCAGTACCGCCCCAAGAGCAATTGCCCAGAGGCACAAAGTCTCGGATGGAGAACGTCTTCAAAGCCCTCAGGCCCATGGCGTACGAACACTTCCGGCAGAACCCCAGACTTCTCAAGAAATCCAGCGAAGAAATTACAGCCAGACTTAACCAGTGCTTGGGACAGTTATCCGTAGAAGCCAAAGAGATCCCCGAAACATTTAAGTCTCAGACACCAAAGAAAAAAGCTGCCAAGCCCAGAAAGACCAAGAACAACAGAAAAAGCGCACCAGGTGGCGGTACTGGAGAGGAGTGAGTGTGGAAGAATGAGTACCGAAAAAGATACAAAATGTGAGTCCGTGATGTGCGCAGGGTACGAATAAGGGACAGTAGTCCCCTTCAACGTAAAAACTATAGTCAATGTAATCACTTTTAATCGCTCCGGAGTGTTCTCCAGGACCATCACCTCCTGAAGCGATCAAAACTGGATTTTGCGAAGTTGCATTGCGCGCTCGGTTCTGGTCGGTTGGGTGTGTTTGGAATAGGAGGGCCGGCTTGAAAGGTATCCGTTAAAGGCTCTAAAAGGCCCTCTGCCACGTCATGGGGGTGAGGCTCCGCCTCACCCCGCACGAGCTAGCAAGCGCGAAACAAAAATAGCTTTAATTATTAATAATTGAATAATCAATCGTCTTCCGATGATGATTGCCTCCACACAAGCCGTGCAAGAACTTGAGAAATGTCATTAGTAATACCTATCTTATGAATTGCGCGACATAGGCGCATTGAACGCTTAGTTTCAGCCGACGCGTCCTGCCTCATGTTTCGCCCTACCCGTACTGTACCGTGTACTGGTACCGTAAGAAGATGCTTCAAGGGGATCTTTATTCTAATATTCTATCCAGCGAAAGCTCTGTCGAGAGAATTCTATTGGTCGATTATAGGTTGTCGAAGCGTTTTGACTCTACTCTATAGCTGTGGTTCTCCGAAGACGAGGCAATGCATTGAGATTCACAACGGACGTATTCGAAGCGCAACGATGGTGTGATACCGTCGATTCCGTTGATTCCAGCCCAAACGAAAGACACATGCACCAACAAGACGACTCGACTCAAAGTGTGCGTTTGCCTCGTGTGTTGTTTTGCGATCATGAGACTGTTATCTCTTTCCTCCAGTTTCTTTGACCAGCGCCCTCTCGGCCGCCTTTCGCACCGTGTTTAGTTGCCCCAGCAGATTGTCTGCTCGCAGCATTCGCTCTTGATTCAGCTGTTTTTGCTTATTGTTGGCAACATGATAGATGAAATGATTGGAAGCGTAATCCGGATGCAAGCTGAAAATTCTCTGCATATTGCAGCCACCTCTGACTCCCGTGAATAGTTGGTATCCACCGGACCAGAATTCGACATTGAAGGATTCCTGACCGTCGTTTCGGTACATGGGTGGGTCAAAGGGCGGTATGAAACTGCCCATGCAAAGACCATCATTGTTCATGCGCAGTATTTGTTGCCGCGTGGCCATCCATCCTCCCTGCTGTGCGATAATGTCGGGTCTTCCACCTCCTGGTTTCTCTTCGTCACCAAATGCTCCATCTCGGCCACTCCAGTATCCACCAATCAATAGTTCCACGTCCATTCGCTTCCCAGGCCCCGGCAGAACACCGACCCAGTCGACTAAATCGGATGGTTTTCCCACCTTTGGTGTGGGCATTTTGAGCGCACTGAGCGCCTTGATGTTTGTTTCCCATATGATGATATCTTGTGGAGGAGGATGAACGGGAGTGTTTTTGTTGGGTTTCATTTGTACATGACAGCATATTCGAGAATTAAAGTGTATTTCCTTTGGTTGGACTTGCCCCTGTTCTGTCACCACATCGTACATGAAATCCCTGTCGATATTGGCCAGTGTGGTTTGGGCTCCATACTGTGCTTCATCCACCAATGCTTCGACACGGATGAATCCCGGAATGAGTCGGTTCATTTGTCCCTGGGTGAGGGGTCCATGGTAGTTTTGTTCTTTGGGGTCCGTTTTGACGGGCAGTTGATTGGGCACCGTTTGCGGGGCCTCGATGCGCAGTTTTTCAATTTCCTTGGACATGTTCATAAAGTGAGCAACGTGATCCCCGGTTATCCTCATGTCATCTTCGAAAGCCACAAATAGGTCGTAATGCATGAGTTTGTCCTTGATGACGTATCGATGTTGTCTAGCCAATGCACGAGTATTGTCAATGACAGCGTCTTCACTGTGTTTGGCTTCGTATCCCAAGGCTGTCAAGTCAAAGAAGAAACAACAATTATCAGAAAACAGAACAAGATCCATGAAAACAGGAAAAGACTCGAGTCAAAAACACAAGTAAGCAAGTTGGAACTTACGACATGCATCATCCCATACTTCCAATCCCACTCCGTCGGGCAGCCTGGATCGAATGTAGTCTTCTCGATCCTTTTTGAGTTGATATGCCGCAATGATAAAGACATCGACATGGTAATTGAATGGTTCGTGTACCATGGATTCTACGGAATCGACCATGATTGGAATGAGTACTTCTCCCAATCGATCCTGTCCCTTGACGGTTTGTCGCAAACCATTGTTGAATTCGGCCAGTGTCGTGATAATGTAGAGAATGCGTGGATTGTTGTTGCTATTAGTGTCGGAAACTTCTCGTGTCAATCGACTGGTGGAACCACTGCTGACAGCGTCTTGTGACGAATCCGTGGTCAATTGGGACGAAGTAAAGAGCAGCACATGCAAAAAGATGACGAACAAGACGACTTTCCAGAGCAGCCAGAGGGAGAGTATGACCATTCTGACTCGTGGTGGGAGCATATTGACCAGGTCCATCATTTTCTTGGCTCCCGGTACACGATTTTGGACCGTATGAAGTCCCTTTTCCAATTTTTTCCGTCGTTCTTCGGGAATGCAATTGACATTGCTGCTTTTGGAGGACGACGTAAGGGGTTTCTCGTCTTTGGAGGGCGTCGCTACTTCTTGGTGGCCACTCGAGCTACTAATGTTGTCGTCTCGTAGGGTTGTCACACCTAGTTTCTCGACCGATATAGTAGGAGACTTGAGCCCCTTACTGCTGGAAACTGGATCTACGGCAGTAGTGCCACTGGACAGATGATCCTTGGTCAAACCATCGTCCGAAGTTTCGCGTTGTCTTGGACGTTGCCGTGGAGTCGGAATCATTTTGACTGAATACACTATCTGTGATGGAAGGAACGTCTCTTGTGATGGAAAATGTCTTGTCTTGTGACTGGTTGGCTTTTTTTCGTGCTTCAGGGCAACAGATCGTGCATTACAGTAGACTATAATACCTGGGTCCAATTTGAGCGTCTTCTTGGCTGAGTGTTGCACTACTTGTCTCACCTTGCCTTGTGGCTCACTGCTGCCTGTGAGAAACCAACAAAACAAACTGGTTAGACGCAATGAAGGAACCGCTCGTGAAAGTTGTTGAGGACATTGTGGACACGAGAGATGAGATGACGAAGACGAAGGTTCGGCGGAGGAGTTGTGCGTCTTCAAAGAAAGATCGCTCATTAGTGCTTTGAGTACCGTACCGTATCGTCCGAACCAACCTCCAAATCCACCAACCATTTCCACTTCCCTCTTGCATCCAGAACAAGGACTCTGATACCCTGAATATACTATTGTTGTTCTACCACAGCACCAGCCCATGCCACCACCCTCTGCAAAACACCATAAATGGTTCGTCTCAAAACCCGTTGGGTGTTGACTCGCCTCGATTTGTTCCAGGATATTATTATTGGGAGTACTAGTCCTCGGCCGGATTGGTTTCCCACGAAAAAAGAGTTTGCCAAGGCACTCAAGGAAAGCATCATCTCGTGTTTTGGAACATCTGCCAGTGATGCCGCATTCGATGTGCAAGGTACGTCCAGCACGCACAAGCCATTCCTCTATAACTATCTAAATAACTAACTAACTCACTAACTGGGCTCTCATCCATCCATCTTTACTATTATTGATATTTGTCACAGTTCGCCTGTGTGATGCCACATCCAGACTCGTTCTTTTTCGAGTATCCAGAGAGAACTATCCCAAAGTCAGAGCCAGCTTAACCATGCTCACCACTATGCCAGTGTCTCCCACAACAACGTCAACGTCAACAACAACGTCCAATAATAATGATGAAACCAGCAAATCACAATCTACCATATCGCGAGTCACCACGTCTGTCGTGTCGGTTCATGGGTCCCCTCGAACCACAAAACTTAACACCATGAAGCAACTACGGAAAGCCTATCAGAGATATCAACAGCAGGATCCAAAACAAAAAGCAAAGCTGGGTCGAGAGCTTGGGGAATGCTTGGCAAAAGTTCATGCCATGGACTACATTTAGCTAGCAAATCACTACCTATGGCTACTGGCTAGCTACCGTAGCTATCCACACCAAACGAACATACTTGCCACCCCGAGTCAGAACTTTTTTCGTGGCATTTTGGGTAGAAGCCAATGAAATTAGTGCTGTTTGAGATGTAAAAGAGTTTCATCATCAAACACTTCCACGGTCAGCTAGCCAGCTAGTGACATGTTGGTTTGATGTGAAAAGCCAAGTCACAAAGCAACAACACTGGAAATAACGTGCATGTGGAGAGATACCGCCAAAGATGGGGAATGATAAAGTACACTCAGCTACACGCATGAGCCCGGCACAAACCAATATGCGACATGGGCAGATTAGGACCATTCCTCTTCAAGCACCTTTTAGCAGCCTTGCTTCCAATCCACAATCCACTAAAAGAGCCTTCATCGAGTCAATGATCAAGCTTTCCTTGAGAATCAAACAACTTTGGTGTACACTGTCATCGTCTGGTTGTGGATGCCGACTATGGTATTGCTAGTGGTGCCTTTTCTCTCTCGTTTGGCTGCACTGTTGTCGGCTCGCTTTGCTTTCTTCGAGCGAGAATGTTGTGACTCCCCGCAATCATGACATGCCTCTCCTTGTTTCTTCGGGCTCAGTATCGCATCGAGTGCCACAAGTCAAGACTGTCGTATAGTATCTCTGGTTTGCTCCTCGGTTGAGGTTGACTTCAATGTTCAGCTAGCAAAATTTGGCCACTACACTGTAGCTAGCAAGCAATAAGAAAGAATCGGCTAATGTACATGTTTTATCTCCTTTTCTGCCGGAGCAACCCTGTATGTCTTTGCCCAAGCAGCACCTTGGATACAACTAGCGGTGCATAGAGGTACCGGTACTCGCACTTACTTGGGATGGATCTGTTCTGATACAATCTTCTGTAGACAGAGCTTCCCCAAAACCAAATAGCTTCCAATGACTTGCGCGGGAGTTGAGCGACACAGTTATTTTTCCGGATCACGGACGATGCCAATCGATGCGTGACCCATGGACCATCGCCATGGACCGTCTGTCGTCTGTCTTTTCCTCCACTGCCACGATACGTAAAGTCGTCATTAGCCGCCACAAAGAGAATAGGGGCACTGCGGCTACCTCTTCTGCTATCAGCAAGCAAACCTTTCAGTTGGGTAACGGACATTGCTATTCATTCTATTCAGCGCTGTTGGGTATACTATTCAGGTCTAGAAGAAGCACTTCTGGGTCGTTAAGACAAGGACTTGAGGTAGAATAGATATAGATACGGATATACCCCGGATACCATCAAAAAGATCGTTGCCTCCAACAACGACGAGCTCACAAGAGGTGGTCACTTAGTCCAGCATATCATATTCCCAAGGTCATTCAATAGGAAACCCAAATGAAGCAAGATAAGGAAGCCAGTGTCAACAACTGGGGCACTCCTCATGCCTTTCACTTGAACCTGCCACCCAACCACTTGGACGAGGATGGAGTCCCATACATCACCAAGTTCGCCCACAAAAAGGCCCGCATGATTGTGGAGCTGGCCATGTCCATCAATATTTGCGAGGAAATGTTTGCTGAGGCAGATAATGAAGCCATGGATATTGACGAAGAAGGCGAAGAGGAGACGGATGATTCCAAGCAGACCTTGGTAAGTCGGAAGGAAATGACTTGAGCTCATTTGTCTTTGTAAGGTATCGCACCAGAAAAATCACTAATGACGCACTTTGTCGCCGCCATTTCTTGACAGGGCTCGTTGATTACAACATGTAACAGACTGCAATCTCAGCTGTCGATTCTTGAAAGCTTGAAACACAGTGGCATTGAGCAAGAGGAACTGTGTGAGATTATTCTGCATTTTCTTAGGCTGCTGTCGGCTACTGTCACCTATGAGCCCAGCGAAACGGACCCATCACAACGAAAGGCGACACTTCATTATGAAAATGTGGGTTATTTGTATAGGGCTGGTGATGATGATTCAGCCTTGGCATATCAAAATCCGTCGAGTGACGTGCAGCTGGAGGACGAACTCACGCAGGAATTTGCCATGCCAGCACCAGCTAGAGAAGTCCTACTTTTCTTTCTCATCAACCTTCTCGGAAACAAAGGGCCCTTGAGGTCCGTGTCGAATGCTTCCGTCTATCTTGATAACACGGCAACCCAAACACCCAGATTCATGTTGATTGTACATTGGAAACCATTGTTGAGGATGTTCCTACGCACGGCGCCATACCTTGACGAACACAAAGTGGGAAAGGTACCATCGAATTCCAACTCTAGACAGAGCACTACGCTACAAAGAACCGTCCAGTTGATTCGGGATGCCCGCCACTTCTTTGATCAAGGGTTTCGCCCACCGTCCTCAACGGATCTGCCACACCTTGAATTGGACCGAACGGCCAAGGAGATCTGGTCCATGGTCAAAACTGACGTCAAATTCCACTCCCACACCCACGCGTGCTACCGATCATCAATCATCCTTTATCTGTTCCAACCATCTCGATGCACTGCTGATTATTATTTGAGCGTCCTTCCGGAATGGTACGAATGCTGGACGAACATTGATCGTTGCCCAGAGTATGACTTTCTCTGGCTTGCAATGTTCTGCCGAGCCCGCAAGCATGTGTCCACTTCGGCATATGACTGGGGACCAATCCGACGACGCATCTTAACACACAGCCAGTACTGGCTTCAACTCCCTATTGGAGGGGCATCTATGGACAAGCTCTTTCCACGGGCAGGAAATCCTAGATCTCGTTCCTGTCCGTCGCGGCTAAAGGAGTTTGTGGGGTCCGGATCGTCTTACGAAGAGGGGATTGATTTTGTGGCCAAGGTGACAAAACTGCTGGTGGCGAGTCTCGGTGCTGGAGAAGTCAAACCAGCGTCGAGTGCCGATACAGTGGCCATGTCGGAGGGGACGAGAGACATGCTGCGCTTCCTGTCTTTTGTCACACCTTATTTCAACCCCAGCAACTTGGGTTCTTGGACATTTACGCTCGGAGCATTCCTTCACTATTTCTCGTATGAGTTATGCTGTCGAGTTGGAAATGCGGCGGCCATGCAAGCATTGAAAGCGTCCAACCCGGCTCTTTACGACAAGTTGTGCGAAGTACAGCCTTCTCTTTCGGATTCAACGATTCCAGAGAAAGAAATGGTCGCCCTGATGCATGCATTGCTCCCGCTTTGCCAGCAAGCAATGTACAGCAAAAATGGGCATGTTGGGCGAGCCGGCGAGGCTGCCATGTTGTACTTGATCCAAATAGACCCAATGCACACGGCACCTGCTTTCATCGACTTTGCGACTCGAGCTCTTGATATTTCGGCAGTCAATCTTGCCCATCAAGCTCCGGCGGCTCTCTCTGCACTGACACGGTTGATTCAGCCTGCCTTGCGAAGCAACCCGTCCATTTTGCTGGCAAGAATCCCAGACATTCTACGCCTATGCTTAGCTGGAATCGACAGAAATGACCAGAACAAAACTATTCGGACGTTGATCTTGTACCGGAGCATCACATCGTGGATGCCTGTGGGTGGGCAGCCAGAGAAGTGGGTATCAGTTGATGTGAACAAAATAGCACAAGAGGAAACCAATGAGTTGACATCATCCAACGGTACAACACACCTCGGCAGAGACCTGTTCAGGTACCTTTCTGCGGCTCACACATCACCAGCATACATGGAGGCTTTGGAACAATTGCCAACAACATCGCTACTGAGGCAAGGAATACCAAGCGACAATGACACTTCTCCGGAAACCCATAAGTTGCTCATGGAAGAGGCAGCAGCAGCAATGGATGATTGGATTCTGGAATTCCTCGATAGAATCTTCACTTTCTTGAGGGCTTCCGGAGAAAGAGAAAAGGTCGGAAAGACTTCTTCCGGTGTTGCGTCGCGCCACTCTTCAGTTGATGTGCAGCAGGCTCGCAACTTTTCGCGTGTCCTGCAAGAGTGTCTGGCACAGGTCTTTGCCGCTTTGAATGGATCGGTCTTCAATCTTGCTCTTAGGTCTGTGACCAGATTCTTTCACGAGGATACACTGCCGTGGGCGTCGAAGGATGCATCGTTTGTCTGCCAAGCCGTCGCTGGCGCTCGTGAAATCCAGGACAATGACGGCAATGCGGTGCTGTCATGTCCAGGATTGGACGCTCTGGTGCCCATTCTTACTGATGATCTTGAGCACCACTCCATAAAAACAGTTAGTTACCGCCTCCGTTGTCTCGCCGGAGCTGTGAAGGGCAGCAGCCACGTCCTTGTGAAGCACAAGGAGGCAATATCAAAGTCGATTGATTTTGCTCTGGCAAGCACTGACAAACACCTTTTCAAGGTGGGATGTAAATTGCTACGACACTCTCTTGCTTCTCTTTGCGAGGCCTATCCAGTCGCCGGAGAGAACATGCCACGAACTGCCACTGACAACTCATCCGCAGATGCGCCAAGCGTGCTTGGCCGATCGGCTCAGCTTGCTGGAGATGGCGTGAAGTGGCATGTGCCTAACGAGGAAGCTATCGAGTTTGCCGCGAGTTTGGTGAACCGACACATCTTGCAGCGACTAGAGGCTCTGAGCAAGTCAGGTTCCAACGAAGGTGGGAATGGTACTGTTGACATTCCTGAGCTTCGCCGATGTTTGAGAGTAATCCGTTACTCTCTACGAGGTGGATCCTGCGTCTTGTTAGACAAGGAAGAGGCCGTGGACGGTGATATGGATGCGACGTTAACACCGCACGAACTGGCCTCGCAGAATATTCTGAAGTTGGCGTCGGAGGAAACGAGACAATCGTTGTCGGAGTTGAGAGGCAGATTGGCTTTGTTCATGGTGACTGTAGCTTCAATCATTGCGAACGAGACATATTCCGCAAATGCTCCCGAGGAGGGGACACCGGCAAACGACACTGCGACCAGCGATCGGAAATACCAATCTCTGATCAGCACCGACGCGAAGATTTGCAAAGAAACATGCGACATTGCGCTCCTCCTGTTGACGAGAAGAGGTGCAAACTTCCGCTCGCAAGAGGCAAGAAACATCTGGAAGGCACAAAAACAGTCAACAACAGACTTTTCGCTATGTGCAATGGCCGACCACATTGTAGAATCTCTTCAACGCGCGGCTCTCTACTGCAAAGGTTCAGAGATCTTCTATAAGGATGGAGAAGATGCTGGGAAGACAATTCCCCGTCGATTGCTTGTGACCAGAGTGAAGTTGTTTCACGATTCGCTGAAGCGCAATGCCAGCTTCGAAATTCCAAGACGCCTGCGAAGGCTCAACCTCAAGCGAGCTTCGTCAGGAGTAATCATCTTCGATGCCACACTGAAGGCATCGGTACTGGGTTCTAAAATAAGCGAAATCCTGGGGCGTGACGCTGGGAGGCCGTTGGTGGGATACGAAGGGTTGATGGATGGACTTTTCTCTCTTTGCTGTCATTCGAATACCCAGGTTCGGGCGGCCGCAATCAGCGTTGTCGACTATGCCATTACGCGTTTTGGATGGCTTGTGAAACAGCGCGTCCCACGTTTGCTTTCTGCCATTTCGATGCAGGATGTCGAAATGCATGGGAAGTTTGGTATTCCTTCAACTTTCAAGCTCAAGGCCCACGTGGACGGCCAAGGGAAGCGAAAGCGGTTGGCAGAAGCAATGAAAGGGGTGATATCTCTTCTCGCTTTGCCTCGGTCTGTAAAAGAAATGATGGCAAGCGATAACGTCCGGTTCATCTATATCAAAACTGCCTGTGGTACTGATGAATTGATCTCGCTTATGCCGACCGAAGAAACTCAAAAGATGGTTCATTACTTGCACAGCATCTTCAGCAAGTTTCGGTCGAAGTTTTACAGTCTACCTCGGACCTCTCGACGGGATCAAGAAACCCACGATTCTAGTATTCATTTTTTGCTAGACTTGCTGTCAGAAAACGTGGGCACTGTGAAGGAGTCTGCACTGGTTTCCAGTGAACAAGACCAAAAGGCACCGGATGGAACTGATCAAGGCGGAATTAGTGTGGCTCAGGCACACTGGAGAAAGCTTCTGCTCGTGTGCTGGTTCATCATGTCACAGGTCAACGTCGATGACCTCAAAAAAGTCGACAGCGCTCTATCGAATAGGCTTTGGACAACATGCTTTCGAGTGCTTGAAAATGAGATGGGTCAGCCCTTACAGCGTGTTGCACTTGGTTTGTTTGGTCGGTTGGTTGCGTTGACTCGCAGAGAACCTGACTTGCCGCTGCTGCGGGAAAGAATGGTCACCGAGGAATTTTGCAAGGTGCTGGGCAAGGCTCTTGTTTACGATCACAAGGAGGATTCTAGTTTTGGTGGCGGACATGACGCGCAATGGTCAGCTGGAATCGAAGATATGATTCGTGATGCTTCAAGGAACGTTGCTCCGCGAACCCTCTTCCCGTTCCAACGTACCAGCCAGAGTTCAACCACATTCAAGATCACCCACGCACAGCTGGTGTATACGGTTCTTGCGGGACTTGGAAAAGAGGATGGAACCACGGCTGCAAAGTACTTGCTTGCCTTTGCGACTGAGATTGCTGCATCTCCCCCTAGCGAAGATCAACGAAATCAACAATGCACGTCGGCTGAGATATTCTCAGGCGTATGCAGAGCCATGTTGCTGTTGCACAATGATGATCCGATCGACATTTGGACTTCCATCTTTTTGCCATACCTCGATGACGTGATTCCGAAGATTCCAGTTTCATTCATTGGGGCATATTTCGACGCTCTGCGATTTGCGCTCCAGTTCTCTGCCCCCAACGCGTTCTTCCCACTGACCGCTTGGCTTTTTAAAAAGGTGGAGTCAACTTTGTGGCAGCCCAAGAGCGCGCCTCCTGAAAACGAGGCCGAAGCGAATGGCGAGGAAAAGAATGGTGCAGGGGGGCGCACGGAAGGTTTCACAGCACAATCCAAATGGCTGTATCTTAGCTGTGCTCTTCTGATTGAGATTGACGAGACTGAGGTCGATGGGAGTATGTCCCGTGTTCCATGGTACACGCACAGTCTTGCTGGCGACTCAGGTATGGACACGGACGGGAAGACAGAGCAACACGCCGTGAAGGATCTCCAGAAATCGTGGGATCTTGTCAATCAAAAGTTGCTGCCTCGCTTGACGGATGCGGTTGGTCACCCATACGAAAGCTGTCGTGACCACATTGCAGGCTGTCTCTTCCGGATTTGTCACTGCCATCGAAAGAAAATGCGCGTCACTGCCTCTCGATCGTTTGATGGCGACCTTGACGATTTAGAAGCAGCTCCTCCTGAAGACCCTGGATCGGTCATTGTGCGAAAGCTGTCGTCACTGGAAACAACCGACACCCTCTCTTTCAACGATCGCTACAATGCCTTGATTACTACCCGCCGCTTCTTTTCCTATTGCATTCATTTGGGGGAAGCAAAGCACGAGTATTCTGATTACATTGTGCCTTTGCTACCGCTTGCGTTTGAGGCACTGAAATCCAACATCGAGGAGGGAAACGATAACGCCGATGCTGCTCAGCGAACATTGGAAGCCGAGGTCGTGAAAGGATATCGTTACACCATTGCGGAATTGAGTGTGACTTCTGTGATATCCTACGGAGACTTCTCAGACATCACTCGGGTTTTGGATATTGTCAAGGTCGCCGCCAAGCACGAGAAATGGCAAGTACGCCATGCTTGTGCCCATTTCCTTCGCAGCTTTCAGGGAAGCCACAAGTTTCTCTTTAGCAGCAACCATGCGGATGTTACGCTTTCCACCGTCACAGCTCTTCTCGCAGATGATCGCAGAGAAGTTTCGTCTGCGGCTATGGCCGCTCTTACGGGCATTCTGGCGGCTTCTCCCGTGGACAACGTTGCCCGGATGGTGAAGAAGTATGTGTTGGTGGCCAAGCGTTCCTCTATGAAGAAGAAAAAGAAGGGCGCTCCACCCGTGAAGCCCTCTGCCGACGCTGTCGTGGATAAGGAAGCTCTTGAAAAGGAGCAAAAGAGAGCCTCCAACCAGTTGACGTCTGTGTTCTTTCTCTGCGCTTCCGTTCTGGCCCAGCCCTACGAGACACCTCCGTACGTTCCAGAAGCCTTGGCAGCAATTTCCAAGCACTCGTTTGAACGGAATGCGCCTCTCGGTGTGCGTGACACCGTGAAGAAGTGCTGTGCAGAATACAAGCGAACTCACATGTCGGACAATTGGGAGCTGCACCGCAGCAAGTTTTCTCAAGAGCAGCTAGAGGCTCTTCAGGATGTGGTTAGTTCGCCGCACTACTACGCTTAGTACATGGATAGACGAGGGCCATTACACTGTACTATAGAATCTGCTGTCTTGCTACGACTATATTGTAGAACAATAAACTAAATGAGAGAATTTCCGTAACAAAATCACCAAAAATGGAATGGATGTTGTCTTAGTCAGACGGCAAGGCCCAATGCTAAAAATCTCATCCAAATCTGGAGGGCACTTTAACCGCCTTGTGTTGAGCCTGTGACCCAAATCACGGCGGCTCTGCAGATTGTGCGACTTGCTAGCTTTGGACTCGGAGCAAAGAGTCATGTATCCGGTCAATGCCTTTGGGATGGTGCACAGAAAAGCTCATCCCGTACGGGGCTATGGTGTCTTTTCTTCTTCCGCTTTGGCCGCAGCCGCTGCTCTGTCTGCTTCCAGGGCTCTGCAATTCACTACACTTCTTTCTTTGGACCATTCATACAATTCAATATCCAGCTTGTTCTTGTCCTTGAGGTAGTCCAGAACTTCAGGATATGGAATCCGCTCTTCCAGTGGTTTGTGGCTACGATGTAGTTGTTTGGATTTGGGGTTGTGAGCATTTTCAATTCCAAGTATCTCGGCCACTTTCTCCAGACTCTCTGACAAACAGTCTTGGTCCACCACAAAGGTAAACCGTTTGACTACTTCTTTGGCTTCTTCTAAGTATTTGATATTAGTATCTGATCCATTGCAGCAGCCTATATCCGACAAGATCCTCAATGCATAATTATTGTTGTGGTATTCCTCATGCGCAAACTCCCAGTACTCTTCAATACTCGCATTGTACTTCCTGGGTTCCCAGATTCCAGGATATTTCTTCGCCATTACACCATCACCAGCGAGACTCCTGCTGATGGGTTCCTGTTTAGATGATGAAGGAAGGCCAATGGGCAAATAAGTTGAGCACTTCAATTATTGGAGTCTTGACATACACCTTTCAATTCTTACCCTCATGACTAGCAGTGAGACCAAGTTTGGGTGCTCCCAATTGGTGTCCCAATTCTGAGGCTAACAAGAATTTTCATGCAGACAGAAGCAAAGATTGAGTGATACCCTGTGAACGTGTGTCAACTGCCTCATTACTAAGACAAGGGTTACAACTACACAATTACTCACTTGCTCTGGTCCGTGAGGATGTCGAAGCTCCCAAGAGACGAGATGAAAGTTCTTTTGAATAATCTTAATGTTTGTGTCTGTCTCATTGTACCCCCAGGGACCCTGTTTTGGAAAGATGTTTACTTCTTCGGCCGGAATGTCATCGTTTGGTCCCATGCAGGCAAAGGACGGGTGCTTCAAAGTATGGCCCAAGTCAGCGCATACGGTGGTGCCGGCATGATGTGTAATGTGATAATTGAGCACAATGCTGCCAGAACCATTTCGAAAGTTGGCAATCTGTCGGTCTACAATGTCTCGGCGGGACGCTTGCTTTACTTGTGAATTGTTGCTGCTACCACTACTACTTACAATAGTATCCAGGAGGACCAACCATCCCACTGGAGCAAGCAATGCAAAGATGATTGTTGCCACGCAGCAAAGCTGAAATTGGGTTGGTTTGGGAAGTCTCTTGTGGATGTTGGTTGACTTTTGAATGTTATTTCGGCTGGTAGGCACTAGCTCCACATGTTCAAGATGATCATACTCAGGTTCTCTTAACAATGTCATTGTCTTGGTACAGTAAGCTTTGAGTTCTTTGGTGACGATGAGACGATGAGACGATGAGACCACCACACACCGAGCACCGCTTTGAGAAGAAAAAATGAGCCACCGTCCAAATTCGAAATCGGCCCACTCGGTGGAAGTTGGCCAGGAGCGTGATCGAAGATTTTCGTCAGACACGATTTTTTGGATCTTTCAAACATCGATTCGATGTCTTGGACCAGAACACAACTGTCGGAGCTGACATCAACGTCGCCTCTACTTCTGGAGTAGCAAGCTACTAGTAGACAGATGTCATTCCCTCGCTCGACACTACTCCTGGTAGCATCATTGCATCGAACACCTACAAGACTTGGCTTGACAACTCTTCCTCTGCTGTTTCACGTTGGCTTGATTGGAGCTTTCTCTCAGTTGCCAATCATCCGCAATACGAGATCGTTTGTTGTCACACCGGCTGTCACTCCCAGCAGTTTCCATCACTCACCGTCAGTTACCACCATGACCAGCACACTGACCACCATGAATTGGGAACCACTTCCTCCTCGCGAAAAGTCCTCGCGACAGCAACGGCGACGTGCTCGTGGTGGAAGGGCCAATGCTGATGCAAGCCACGAGGGCCAACCAAAGAAGAACGTTCCCGTCAAAGGCGACACGAAACCCAAGCGCAAACCCAACAGACCTGGATTCAACTCGTACTTGAAGGTGCTTCTCGACGATGCCACCATGGACCGCCTTTTCGACGTTGCCACACGGATTCAGAAAAAAGTACAAGACTTGCAAAATCAGACGGATGAAAGCGACGAAGAAAACAAGTCTGAAGCAGCAGCATTCGAAACAGCTACTAGTAAAGAAAAAGTGGAACCAAAAATCAAGGAAGATCCATCAGCCGAGGAAAAGCAAGAATCCAAAGCAGCAGCAGGCCAATCGCCTGGGCCCGAAAAGAAGCAACGAAAGAAGAGACCATTGAGTTTCAAAGCCCGGTCCAGAGCATCCCTGCACATGACGTTCTTCTTTGGCGGCGAGAATCTTTGTGAACTCCCAAAGGAAGAATTGCAAGACTGGTACGACCAAGTACGAGACCGGTTGGAAATGGCAGAATTTGTCGTGCAAAAAGAAGACCACAACAACAATGCGCCTGGCATCAAGGAAGGAACAACCGAAGAACAATCATCAGAGACAGCGGAAGATTTGGCAACAATGACAACTAGTACCGTAACTGGCGACTACTGGTTTGATGTAACGGATGTGCGAATATTCCCACCGGGACGCAACAACTTGATTGTAGCTCATTTGGAGGCAACTCCTGCATGGCACGTCCTGCACAATGACATTCGAGATATTGCCAAGAATTCCGACTCGAAAGGGCTCAATGATATTGTTGCCTACAGCAAGGAAAAGTGGACAGCTCATATCACCTTGGGAAATATCTTTGGAGGAGGTTCCAAAGGGCAAATTCGACAAGCCTTTTCCGCAATTTTGGAAGAATTGACGGAAGAATTGATGCAGGAAGGCTTATCATCATCATCATCAGCAGCATCAGAAGCGTCTGTTCCAGAGGGCACAGCAACCAATCCTCAGGAACGGAAAAGTCTCTTCAAGGCTACGACTTTTGGCATTGGCATGGGCGGTCCTATGCCCGAACAGCTTACCGGTATTGACCTGGATTGGGGTTTTGTCTACAAGCCGACGAAGCTGGGATATTAATAGACCGCTCTGGGGTCGAGGGTTTGATGACCGTTACCGGTCACCGGTTTTTTAGAGACATTTTGACTTCACGGATGACTCCCTGGTTCTTGGCCCTAAATCTTTTGGTGTTTGGCAACTGTCTCACAGGTGAACAATGACATAAAGGAAAGCTTTCTTTAGAGTCATTCAACATTCAACACTCCACCAGATCAGCAACACCATAACACCATCAAAGGATTTATCGCGAGCAAAATTTCATACAACAAGATCACTTCAACAGCTCTTCAACGGTCCTTGCTTCAACACGCTTTGTACAAGTGAGTTGCAGCGTCGCAGCGACCTCCATTGCCACTATGCACACCAGTACCGAGCTTCCGGTTGCGAGTTAGGAGGTGTTGGCTGTTGGCTGGTTATTCTTATGCACTCGAGCTTTTCTGCACTCTCATCTTTTCCAACCAACCGACCAAACAACAAAACGAAGGGCTCTTTCAATCTATGTTATCAGAAAGCACAAGGCAAACAGCAACAGCAAACACACATAAAAAATGGTATCGTCAGGGAGAAGCTCGCCAGCAGTAGTGGTCAGGCCGCAATGGACCAAAACTGGGAGTTGGCGCAAGTATATTAGAACGCATTCCAACCGCAAACTACAAGTGGATCTGGATCTGACACAAGAGCGGCATGTCCACTTTGATACTGAATCCAACAGAGTGGAGGAAGTCACACAAGAGGAACAGTCCGTAATGGATGCGAGATGGTACAAGGTGAGTTAGTTGAACGATTGCTAAGGAATGTCATACAAGCCAGTCCCACACTGACCATTGCCATTCCACACCTTTGGATCGAATAAATTCCCAGAAATCTGACTATGAGGTATTCGAACGAGACCGCCAACTTACTGCATTGCAGTACAGAGCAATAAAGAAAAAGGGAGCACCTTTTATCGAGCGGGAACACAGCGTCCGAGGACTGGAGCACTTGTTGGATGCCCCCAGCACCGATAACAGCAATGCGGCCGCCACAGTCACCAGTAAGGGAAAGGTGGAGAGGACCTCGGGACGTTCAGAACATTCGCAACGGGTGCTGCAGGAGCAATCCAGGCAAAAGAGTGCGTCTGTGTACCCCAATGACGCCATGCTGCGAGAAGTTGCGTGCAAATCTTCCAGAGAGTCCAGGCAACGGTCAGCCGAACGAGGCGAAGCCGATGCATTGGCCGGGTATGTGACTTCTTCCAGGGCACTACAAAGAAAAGTAGGAGGAGTCATGCATACCATTTCCCGAAGCATGCAGCCTTGAGAATTGAGAATATATCGGATACTTCCAGCTTCCGCACCTCCGCGAATACTTACTTCACTGACAGTCAGTGATGGTAACAACAAATCTTTAGCCATAGAACTCATTATTGCTACGTACTACCGGTACGTTAGGCTGCTCAGCTAACTGGAGCTTATTTAGAGCGGGAACTTTTGAAAGTTTCGCAGTAGCCGAACACACCAGGAGAAATCGCTGGTGACAACACTCCGGGTGCTAGTCTTTAGGAGGGGTCGGTCCAGTTGCCCCTCTGGGAGCTCGTTGCTCTCATGTTCGTGCGTCTCGGCTGCGTCGGTCCAGTTGCTCCCTCTGGAGCAACCTAATCAATCGAGACCCGTTGCTCTAATTTTCCAAAGTCGTTCGATGGAATTCTTCGTTTGATTACTTTTCTCAACCGGTACGCCAGAAGTGGCGTTGTTGCATTGCTGCTGGCCACACCGGTACTGTACTAGTACTCTACTAGATGGAACCTCAAGACCAACCTAGCTAGCTCGTCCCCTCTTGGAACTTGCCTGGTTAGAATGCTTATTAGGAACTGGGAACAGACCTCATCTAGTTTCTGACCGGGTCGATCGAGGTTGCAGTTGCTGCCGGCCTCGAGCTTTTCGCCGTTGTTGAGAGACTGTTGAGAGTGACTCAGTCTCGAGAGTCGAATAATAATATTCGATTGAACCGCACACGAATCAATAGGGTTACTAGTAGACGTTTTTGGATCTTTGACCCTCTTTCCTCATTCTCTCAATCTTCATTTCTTCGTCGACACCATCCACCACCATGGCGACGGCAAGCCGATTATTGAGAAACCCGTTGGCTTCAAGCCTTCGTAGCGTTGCAAAAAGACAATCATTTCCATCATTCCGTCACTTATCGCTTCTTCAGTCCAACGGATCCATCAGTGGAAGCTGGCATGCCTCCGAAGTTTCACTGCCCACGAAACAAGTGCGATGTCACTCGACCACGAACCAACCCGTAGAATCTCGCACCAGCTCCGATGGTGTAGTCGGACTTCCCATTGATTTTGATATTGCAGCCAAAATTGAGGGCAATGAAAGTCAGGTAAGTGAACGGATGACTTGGACATCACCCAGTCCGCCATTGATGTCAACCCGTTGCTCGCATGGTTTCTCAGATCATTCTTGGTTCTTCTTTTTGGATTCTGTTGCCGATTCGACTCGACTCACTCCAGATTGCCACTATAGCCTTGGAACCAGGCCAAGTGCTTCGAGCCGAGTCCGGGGCAATGATGTACATGACACAGGGTGTGCAAATGAACACCACCACGGGTGGTGGCCTTTCGTCTGGCTTCCAGCGTATGCTCACTGGACAGAACATGTTTATCTCTGACTACACGTACGAGGGAGAGCCAGGAACAGTTGGTTACGTGGCCCTTGGCACCGATTTTCCTAGCAAGATTGTCCGGCTTAATATTGAAGAATACGGAGGCAAATTGGTGTGCCAAAAGGGCGCTCTGCTTTGCGCATCACACACGGTTGACATTCAAATGGAATTTTCAAAGAACTTCTCCACGGGATTCTTTGGCGGAGAGGGTTTTGTGCTGCAAGGTGTGTACAAATCCTGACGGACTTGTTGAGACTTTTCAATGCTGATGATTCGCTGACTTGGATCTGTTCACACTGACTTACATACATGTAGGTCTGACTGGGGAAGGAGACGCATTTTTGAAGGCGGGAGGAACGTTGATCCGACGGGATCTCGATGACGGAGAGCAGCTACGAATTTCCTCTGGTTGTCTGGTTGGTTTCTCTCAGGGAGTTGATTATGATGTACAGATGGTCCAAGGATTCAAGGTGCGTGAGCGTCAACAGTATTTGAAGCTGTGATGCCCAAGGTTTCGGTTCGACCAGCACTCACTTTGTGATCTTCTTTCCCACATCATGATCAAAGAATGTCTTCGCTGGCGGGGAAGGTCTGTTCATGACTACTTTGACGGGCCCAGGTACCGTATGGCTACAGGGACAACCGCCGCAGAGGATGGTAAGTGAAATTGCGCGACGAGTGCCATCGGGCGGAGGCCTTGGCCTTGCTGTGCCCATCGGTGGCGTTGGTGGTGGAGGAGGAGAAGGTGGCGGTGGTGAGGGCGAAAGTACCGGTAGCTCGTAGCAGCCACTTCTAAGAGGCTACGGAAGAACATCACATCCTTATTGGGCCTCCTGTAGTTAGTTGTTGAAATTAGAAGTGCAGTAGACTCCCTGCAAGCGAGAGAACGGAAAAAGTGGTATAAGTCTGATTGTCACCCAAAGCAAGGTTTACGTTCGGTAGCTTCAGCCAGTGCTCTGTCTCCCTCACTCCAGCAATTTACTCCCAATGCTTCGGAGGTTGCTTTGCCTCTTGAATAGTCAGTTGGCTTGGCCATCGGTAGTTCTTGGAACGTCTTTCTGGGGTGATCGCTTGATAAAACTCGTACCTTCGTGGTCGTGCTCAGGCGCCCAGTAACTAGCTCAAGTTTTGAGGTTTTGAAAAGCTTCGATCACTCATTCGATGGTCACTTCCAATCCACCACATCAATTGATCACCCAGGTTGAATACTGTTGATCTATCTGATCCGTCGACGAAGATTTATTTTGTCTTTGGTACTTCTTTTGTGGCTAGCTATATAACGTTTGTCATTCGTTATAGTATATTTTTCTAAAGTACCGTATTTTTCTGGACCATCAAGTTGCTTGACGGCTTTTTGTTTATTGTTCTGGGGGCATTTTTTTCTTCTGCTTTCTTTGTTGTATTAATAGCCCATTTTTCAAATACATGTCCACTTTCAAACCTATTTTTTGTTTGTTTTTCTTGTTGTGTGTTGTCAACATTGGCCTGTTGATTGATTGTTGCTGTCGTTTGTTTCGGTTGCTGATTGTCGCCATTGGTGTTTGGATTGCACTTCCAATTATCATTTTTTAAAGCGAGGCCATCCTTTCAAAACTTCAAGTCTTGAAAGTCAACCCTGCCTTTCTTTCTCTTCCAAACTTAACTCAACGTGCTCGTCTCAGCTGCTGCCACTTGCTTTGTGTTGTGTTCAACTTGTTTCTCACAACATTTTGTGGAAATGACCTCGTTCCGCCTTGATAATCAACTGATGACGTGGATTGGGCACCAGATCCAGTAATTTGTCTCCATGATCATCCATGGCACCTGACAGACAGCAAAAAAAAGCATGGATGAAATAGAATTGTTAGTAGCTGTATCGCATCAAAAGCTTCCATTGTACATACTAACTACTACAATAACTAGTTTTGCACCACACACACTCACCTGTATCACAAAACGTATAGGAAATTCGTCCAGGTCCTGTGGCTCCGTCTTCTCGGGTGGACCCTTGCATGAGCCAGGATACCAAATCGGCGCCACCTCCTTGTGCTTTTCCTCGTAGCATGGCATCCCGAAACATGTCATTGGAGAGTACGTATCCAGGTCCGATATTTTCTCGTTCTTTGGATTTGGAATCTTCTCGTCGTGCAATGGTAATGGCATATGCATCATCGTCATCTTTGGATGGCGCCGAAACTAAAATGCCTTGTTGATCCAGTCGTTTCAAGATGCGTTGATAGGGATCTCTATGCATCCACGTACTGGGAATGACGGCCAATACGCGAATGCCGGCTTTGATAAAGTACTCGCATGCGACGACAATGCCTCGAGCATCGGGTTCTGGTTTGTCGACTCCACCGGATCCAGCCTTGTCGTAGGCATAGGCAATATTGGCGCCGTCCAACACCACCATGGGAGCCTTTTCGCTCAAATCAATGACGCCGTACATTTTTTCGACCTCTTGTGTGGTTTTGGTATTGTCGTGGGTGGGATCGGCGGGAATGATGGCTGGTTCTTTAGTGGCGTCTTGAGAGTCGACGGCCAATGGTTCCTTGGGATCTGTGACAGCTTCAATATAGGACGGAGCTTGGGCGCTGCTTGTGGGCGCCACGACAAATTTGGTGGCAATGACTGGTTTGGGATCGACTTCCATCATGGCGGTATTGTTAGTAGTATTAGTATTAGTCGGGATTTCATAACTGGTGGCAATGGATGTGCCGCGCGACTTGCGACCGCGACTGGACGACTCATCCATCATGACATCGGCCGATTTTTTCTCGTCGCTGATGAGGCCACCTCCGCCTCCTCCTACGACAAAGGAGGTTTGTACGACGGATTTTTTGACCGTTTTGGTTTCGTTAATCAGAGTTCCCTTGGCGGCTCGTGCCAGAGACGACTTTTTGCCGGTCGTGGTGGCACGTCGGCGATTGTTGTTGCTGCTGGCTGTAGTTGTTGCTGTGTTGTTGTTGTTGTTGAAGTTCATTTCACTGAGACTGGCATTCAACGATCGATTGCTCGCATTCATCAGAGACGAGGAACTCGCTTGAAGACTGGTGGCGTTGTTGATTGTCTTTTTGGCAGGGGCGGGAGCTCCAATTACAAACAAATTGTCCTTTCCACCATTCACCTCAGTCGTTGCTGTCGTTGCTGTTTCTGTGCCCATGGCAGCATCGGCTCCACTTTCGACACTCCCCTCAATGGGAGCTCCTTCTTGGACCAGTTTAGGACGAACCGAAGGCATCGTGAAAGTTGGGCTCTTGTAGTGCAGTGAATTATTGGAATGATGGCTGGCTAGCTAGTAGTATAACTTCAAGACAATACCGGTAGGAGAGCGAATTGTTGAGGGTTCCAGAAAAAAGTGCAAGACCAACTCGAGGCGACTCTGCTGCGAACAGGCAATTGCAAGAGTAACACTCTGAGTATTTGTATGCTGGCCTGTCAAAGAAGATGGAGTCGAAGATTCTTCTTCCAATGCTTTCGAACAGATCCTGCCACAGCTCGGAGTGGTCGATCGTGCCATCATGCAGTGGTCGCTGTTTCATGCGTGGCGCGATCGAGATTGACAGCTGGGTGAGTCGAGTCGAGTCCGGCCAGTCACTGAGTCACCAATCCGTGAGGTTTCCTCACGACTTAATGATAGGGGTTTCAAAGGGGGCTAGTTAAAACATTTTTTGGCAGGGCACCACTATCAAAACATCAGTGGCAGGACCAATTTTTCAATCAGGTATACGGAGGCTTTTGAGCAGGTTGGCACAGCCATGGTAAAGCACACACCTATTGACGGTTACACAGAATCAAGTAGCCATGACATATCTGATCACAACAGCTTTGAAAAAGCTATGG